CGCCCCCCCCCCCCCCCCCCCCCCCCAACTTCTCCCTCAGCTGCTGACCCAACAAGGTTTGCTCTCCTCAATGTGAGGTCTTTAACAAACAAAACCTTCATCATGAACGACTTTTTCTGCACAAATAATCTGGACTTCATGTTTCTGACAGAGACTTGGCTTCCTCCGGGTGAGTCAAGTGTGTTTTCTGAACTCGTGCCTGCTGATTGTACTTTTTTTAATTGCCCGAGGTCATCTGGAAGAGGTGGAGGAGTGTTGGCTGTTTTTAAGAAAATCTGGAAATGCAGACTGTTATAGACACCATCTTTTCAGACCTTTGAACTGCTGCATTTTGAACTGGGCCGCTCCAACCCCATGTTGATTGTAGTGCTTTATCGACCGCCCAAATCCTCCACAGGCTTCATCAGTGAACTGTCTGTCTTTCTCACTACAATACTGTTAAAATACGACCGTGTGCTGATTCTAGGGGACTTCAATGTACACGTCTGTTGCCTTGAAAAGCCTTTGGTTCAGGACTTTCTGATCCACTCTTTAAACCTGGTGCATCCTGCACCATCAGGGTCACACTCTTGATATTGTTCTGTCTTGTGGTGGTGTGGTGTCTCTGTGTTAAATCTGGAAATTGGGGATGCTGTCATGTCGGATCACAAACCAATCTCATTTGTAATACCTCTTGCTCGTGTCTCTAAATCTCCCGCTCCACCCAGGACCTGTCGTATATTTAACCCTTCAACCGCTGCTCGTTTTTCCTCTGCCTTTATTACCACTGCTGCTACAACACCTGAAACCTCTGCCTGTGTCTGTGCTCAGGAGCTGCTTAGTAACCACAATGCGACCTGCACTAAGATCTTGGATCTGGTTGCCCCACTAAAAGTCAGGAAACCAAGGAGAGCCCAGTACCCATGGATGACCACCAGGGCAGCGAGACGCCTGTGCAAGAGAGCTGAGCGCAGGTGGAAAAAGGACCAACTCCAGGTTTCTTTCATTTTGCTCAAAACCAGTTAAAAAAATTACCAGAACACTGTCAAATCTGAAAAAAACAAATATTTCTCCCAACTCATCAACTCAAATAGACACAACCCCCGCGCCCTATTCACAACAGTAAATTCCATTCTAAATGTCCCTTCGTATTCATGTATGGAGGCCTCTGTTGACACCTGCAATGACTTCACTAAATTCTTTAACAAAGTGGAGTTGATCAGGGCCTCCATCCCCCGCTCCTTAGTCGACCCATCAGCTTTTGTTTCGTGTTCTGCTACTTTCAGGCAATTCAAACCAATCACTCCCATTGTTAAATAAAGTTGCTGGTCACATGAAGCCATCAGGATCACCATCGGACCCCATCCCAGCAGCATTGTTCAAACAGGTTCTACCAGCGATTGGGCCTGCTGTTCTAACTATACTAAACAGTAGTATTGCTACAAGCGTGGTCCCAGAGGCGTTCAAACATGCAGTAGTCACACCGTTAATTAAGAAACCTGGTCTTGACCCTTCATCCTGCTCAAATTACAGACCAATCTCAAAACTCCCCTTTCTGTCCAAAATCCTGGAAAAAGTAGTTTTTACTCAGTTAAATCAGTTTTTAACTGAGAACAAAATCTTTGAGGTCTTTCAGTCTGGTTTCAAGCAGCTCCACAGCACCGAAACAGCTTTGGTTAGGGTTTGTAATGACATTTTAACAGCAAATGATTCTGGTCAGTTTGTGGCTCTTGTACTCCTCGATCTTACTGCCGCTTTCGATACTGTTGACCACAGTATCCTCATCTCTCGGCTTGAACACTGGGTTGGGATTACAGGTGCTGCATTAGACTGGTTCCGCTCATACCTCTCTGACAGGAGTTTTTGTGTGAAGGTGGGTAAAAATCTATCCATTTCAATGCTTCTTTCCTGCGGTGTCCCACAGGGCTCGATTCTCGGACCCCTTCTATTTTCGCTCTATCTGCTTCCGCTAGGGTCGATCCTAAGAAAACATGGTATTCCATTCCATTGCTATGCCGATGACTGTCAGATCTACCTGCCACTGAAACCAGCCAGTGCTTGTTCCGTCCACCCTCTCCTCAAATGTCTGGACGACATTAAGACATGGATGGCTTAAAATTTTCTAAGTTTTAACGACCAGAAGACTGAAGTCATTGTCTTTAGCTCTAGCTCAGCTGCCGCCTCTTATCCTGTGAATCTGGACTCTCTTCAGCCTTATCTGAAGCACTGTTAAAAACCTCGGAGTGGTTTTTGACTCTGATTTTAAGTTCTACAAACAGATCAGTTCGGTTCTGCAGAGAAGCTTCTTCCAACTGTGGCAGGTAGCTAAGCTCAAGCCAGTGCTGTCTAGACCCGACCTTGAGACACTAGTCCATGCATTCATCACAACCCGCCTGGACTATTGTAATTCACTGTATGCTGGGGTCAGCCAGGCCTCTATCTCACGGCTACAGCTCGTCCAGAATGCTGCAGCTCGGCTTTTAACCGGTACACCGAGGTACGAGCACATCACACCAGTTCTGTCCTCCC